GTCAGCTTTCCTGCTCCTCTGATGCTGCTTGGCCTGCTGTGTTCATCCAGCTCTACACCTTGTTATCTCTGTATTAAAACAGTAGCTGGTATCTGCAAAGTCATTCATGGTCAATTCAAACAAGTGTCCCAAGTACTGCAATTCACAAATTCACTAGTAATTATTTTCTTCTACACTAATTCTGACCAGATAATGTTAAAACTGGACATAGTAAATGCACATTTCTACTGCCCTATACATGCTCCTACTTTTTCAGCAGGAAGGACTCCAGAACTGTTAAGTGAATATTCTGTAGTTTAGCTCTAAACAAGTCAAAAGGCAGGAGTTCGTCCAGCAAAAGAAAGATATTAACAACCAAGTTTTATACAGCACATAAGAATGGTGCGAAGAAGAAATTGAATGCAAATTTGAAAGCTAGCTTCACAATACCTCTCCAGTCATGTTCAATTTTGACATGCCTTGCTAATGCTGGTGTTAGCTTTGACATACAGTTAAGGCATTTGATGGCTTTCAGTTCAAAGACTGGCCATTTACTGCCCAACTTGCCCTCCAAAATGGTACTGAATTCCACAATACTTCCTTGTCCCAAATTCAGCAGAACATTTTTGAACTCATTACTAGCTCTTAGTACAATATCTTTGGTTGCATCATCTTCAAGAGTTTCATTTCCATTTGAACCATAAGGCATTCCCATAGTTATTTCAAATTTATAGCGACAAAACTTTTTAAGGTGGCAGGTGTGCTTTGTGAGGAATTTAAGCCGACAAAGATCTTCCTCCATCACAGTCACATTTTTGGGATCACATTCAGGATATGTCTCACCATACAAGCATCTCATCCAATCACTTAAGAAGTATGGAAGCATATTTATTGCAGACTCTGCACTGTTCTCAATCTCAGTGATACGGACATATTTGAACCTTCCTGTCCACGTTACTCTATGTCCCTCAAGATGACCACAAAGGATCTGAACTTGAGCCATGTTAGTCTCTTTCCAGGCACGAGGCCCACAAACAAAGCTATACTGCTGCCAGGTCAGAGTGGAATTGTACACCTTCATACCTTCCGACCTGTACACGTAAACCCAACAGAACATCATAATTGCAGTGAGCCAAACCAGAATGAGCTTGACAATGGAGCTTCTCGTCAGGGACTTAACTAGTGCTAACAATGTGCCAGTTGCTTTTGTCCACATGTGGAGGACAACTGGAATTGTGCACAATACAAGAGTGACAATGATCTTGATTAATTCCATGGAAATGAACCATTTTATTAATTGGATGAAAAGCATTAATGCAATACCAATGAGTAGAATTGGTAGAGCAAAGAGAAACAGGAAATAGCCCACAGATGCCCGAATAAGACCCAATCCCGTGGCTGACCTCAGGAGTTCTATAGCCAGTTCGCACCACATAAAGCAGACAAGGTACGGAATTAAGTAGCAGTAGGTACCTTTAAAGTTCCTCAATTGTGCCATTTTGAAGAACAAGTAAAATAAGAAAAAGTACAAGAGGCAGGGAACACCAAGATTCAGCATAAAGATATTACCTATTGGTATAGAGATAAAGGGCTCCCCAATGAATCTTAAGTAGGACCAGTTATCTGGAAGAGTGTAAAGGAACCCTATCACTGAGCATATAACCTCTGTAATGAGGGCCTTTCGAGTGTATGGTTCTGCACTTGTACTCAGACTCATATAAGATGTAATCAAAAAGAAAATTGCAATAACCGACAGCTCTGAACAAGGAATCCAATCTTTGTCTGCTATGGGAAAGGAAAGAATCACAAAAAACACAGAGAGCATAAAGTGGATGTGTGGTTCCAAATGACTCCAACTAAAGTTCACCTCAGCCTGTTCTACATCTAGGTCTGGCTCAAAGCGCAGCAGCAAGTCAGTCATTGTCCTGAAATTGTCCCATGCTTTGCTATCCTGAAAGACTTTTAAAGTACAAATTACCATGGAAATGAAGGAGAGATAAAAGATGACTAAAGGGATGATGAAAGCAAAAAAGCCGATTGTCAAGTTGCTAATTATAAAGAAAAAGACGAGGGCATTTACATGGTGAAGTGGAATAATAGTATGCAGCCAGTGCATTCCAGCTTTGGAGGCAAAATCTATTAGGTGCTCCTTTATTTCCATTAAGGCATGAAGTGGATATTTCATGATCTGTAGAAGAAAACAGAAAAAGTATAATGAGATGTTCTATATGGTCTAGGACGAGAGAAATTAGAAACTATGATCAAGTTAAAATGATCAAAAAAATTATAAAATTATTGACATTTACCAAATGCCTGCCAAATAATCTACCGTCAACTTTCACAAATTAAAGTAGTAACACTATTACCAAACAGTGTAATCAAACCTATAAAATGTATAGGAGCCCACAGAGAAACAATGGAAACAAAGGATAAAAGTTTCAGGGATCCTTATACAGCCCCTTCCAAATTCAAAGTCACTTTCATCTAGAAGGACAATAGCAGCAGATACTTGAGAACACCACCTGCAAGTTCTCCTACATGCCACTCACTATCCCGACTTGGAAAAATATCACCATTGCTTCAATGTCAAGAGGACACAATCCTGGAACTCCTTCCCTAATAACATTGTGGGTCTACTAACACCAAATGAACTGCAGCAGTTCAAGGTGGCAACTCACTACCACCTTATCAAGGGCAACTACAGATGAGCAATAAATGCTGCACCATTCAGCAAAGCTCACATCCCACGCATGAATAATAAGGTGATCAAAATGCATTGACACAGTATCCAGCAAGAAATCTTTAAAAGCACTTATCTAGAAGTCATTTTTGTTAGCTATTTACTACAGTAATACTTAACATTTGGAAAATTTACAATCATCAATTGCAACTTACATGCAGAATTATTTATATTTCTTAATCTTTGCAAGAACAAGAATTGATTAGTACTTTGTACTGATCAGTGATTATCACTATACTCCTGACAGTTTACAAATAATTCCATACATTTACTTTCTGTGATAAACCCCAGTTTCCAGTAATATCAAAAAAAAGTGTCAAAGTAAGAGTGACCTATTGTAACAAAGTGCTGCTCACTGCAAAGGTCGATTGAACAAATCTATTTGCATTCTTAACCATACCTTCTGCTGCAAAGGCAAATCTTCAGGTGGTTTCCCTTCAAGCCCATCATCCTCTCCCTGCATTAATAAGTTAGATGGGATCATTCCCTTGGCATACTTCTTTGTGATGTCAACAAAATCATCTAACATCATGTCCTTGTTACCTGTGGTAGTAATAATAAGTTTTGATTAACAGTAACACATTTTAATCCTTAATATGATCATTAAGTTGCACCAATGCAGGAGCTCCAAGTTGTGTAGCATTTTATTTATTGCTCAAGGTAACAAAACATTAGGACTTCACAGATTTTGTTGTATTGAACGCTTCCAAGCTAAGTGAACTTTATTTTGCTTTGCTCTGACAACATGCCTTAGTCTAAGCCTACAGAATTATCCCACTACATTTGTATCATACCAACCAAGTTGCAAAATTCATACAATGGTTACATCACAGAAAAGGCCATTTGGCTCAGGGTATCTGTGGTGTCTCTCTGCAAGGGCAACTCAATCGTAGATACTTTTGCAACTACCTTCAACCTGTGTTCTCTGGTTCCCATGCCTTCTGCCAATGGAAACAGTTTCTCTTTATCTAGGTACTCCATCCAGATTCTAAGGAGAATAATTTCAATGTCACCTGTCTAATCACGGAGTTGAACTCCTGCCTCCCCAAAACAGTTTGTCTGATATAGACTTACAATAATAAAATCCAGCAGTCAAGCTTCTAATGACAACGGAAAATCAATAATGAGAATAAAGTTATAATCTAACATGCATTTAAGCCAACTACGTTATTTGCTCATCTTTTTAGTATCCTTCCCTTGTAAAGTTGCTATCATTTTAGGATTGAGGATTTGCAGTGATTTGATTCTGGAAACATTAGGCTCATGTCCATAGTCACTTTAAGAACACAGGCACAATAGAAAATACATTTAATCTATCAGCCTGGTTTGAATTTGAATCTAAGAGTTAACAGAACAATGGGTTAATACACTGACATCCAGTCCTCTTAAATGGCTAACCTTAGTCAGGTATCTCAGCATTGCTGGTCATTTTATACGAGCCTCCCATTAACGCAAGGCATATGCACTGAGGTAGGTACAAGTACTGAGTAGCATCATTGTACATTGTAGCATCATGGGACAGTCAATTTTCTTCTGCAGCTCAAAGATATATCTCCTTGTTTTTGCTTTGCTGTTGTCCTCCTTTCTCCACTTGTCCTTCTAAACTTTTCATCTTTGGTTTTAATGAACATGAACATCAAAGAACACAGCAAAGCAGCAAATAGAAATTGAGATAACTTTGCATATAGCACAATATAAATCCCTGATCACCGGTATCCATTTCGTACAAAGATTTTGAGAAGAAAATCTCCATGCAGCACTGATTTGATTTTCCCACTCCTGGTATTTCACTGCACTTTCAAACAATACAGTATTTCTTGAACTAATGCTAAAAGTTGTATTGAAATGAATTTGAAATAGATTAATAATTAAATTATGTGAATAGTGAATTTCCTAATGTAGCCATTTAAGAGTTACAAAGCAGGAAGAGCACTAGCAGGTTATGATCTTACTTTGAATGCTGACCAGTCGCTCAAGCACTCGCCTCTCTTTCTGCAGCATTTTTGGGACAGGGCCGGGTTCTGCCTTGGTACCTGCATGATGATAAAGCCGAGCCACGTTATAACACATGGTCAATGTAAATCTGAAAACGTGTGAATCTTTTCTACATTGCTGGGTCTTTATAATCATCTCAATGAACTTTCACTTTTGTCCTACCTTCGGCATTGATGTGACTAACGTTCTCCAGAATTTCAGAGACAGCGACTTGCTTCTTTCGGTTTGGGTTCAGCTTCTGATACATGATTAAGGTAGCCTTCCGCACAGCCCGCTCAAACTCACTCTCATTTGCAAGCTGCTTCACCAATTCCTCATTCTCAGATGTGATGCCTTAAGGAAAAAGTAGGTGTCAAGTAATTTTTCCTGAAAACTGCATGAACACACGCAGCCATCCAGTAACCTGGAATGTATCATGCAAACTGGTCACAAGATTTTCCCGTGAAGATGATGCAGCACGTGCAAAATCTTTAAAAATACTGAACTTACACAGGAACAGATTCTACACAACAAAAGTAAAGAGTGATGTTTACATTTATTGTTGAAAATCTGTAAAACAATGGAAACAAAATATGTGACCTGAAAAATATGTGACCAGTGTGTTGGGCCAGAGGCGTAACGGATAACGCGTCTGACTTCAGATTAGAAGATTCTAGGTTCAAGTCCTACCTGGCTCGAGTGCAGCCGACCACATTTTAGAACTCCCTAGTGGTCTAGTGGTTATGATTCAGCGCTCTCACTGCCATGGCTCGGGTTCAATTCTGGTCAGGGAACACAAACTTTGGGCGGCACGTTGGCTCAGTGGTTAGCACTGCAGCCTCACAATGCCAGGGACCCGGGTTCGATTCCACCCTCGGGTGACGGTCTATGTGGAGTTTGCACATTCTCCCCGTGACTGCATGGGTTTTTTCCGGCTGCTCCGGTTTCCTCCCACAGTCCAAAGATGTGCAAGTTAGGTGGATTGGCTGTGCTAAATGGTCTGTAGTGTCCAGGAGTGTGTAAATTAGGTGGATTAGACACGGGAAATGCTGGGTTACAGGGTAGGGGAATGAGTCTGGGTGGGATGCTGTTTGGAGGGGCGGTGTGGACTTGTTGGGCTGAATGGCCTGTTTCTACACTGTACGGATTCTATGAAAACAAGAAAGCATTTAAAATGATTCCTCTCTTCCATATGCAGGTTTAGTCTTTGGCAATTGCTTTTAGAATTGATTCAAAATAGGCTGCAAATTGTGTATCAGTTCACATTCTAGGTAACATCATGAGTGCACCTCCGAAGAAGCATTGTTAGTCTGTCCCACTTGTTATTTATGTGGTCCGGTCTGATGTGGCGGTTGGCCTTATTTCTGGTTCCACTTCGCAGTGGTTGGTATATGGGTTCTATTTCCACATGTTTGCTCATAGAGTTCTGGGTGGAGTACTAGGCTCGAGGAATTCCTGTACGTGTCTTTGGTTGGCTTGTCCTAGAATGGTTATGTCATCCCAGTCGAATTGGTGGCCTTCTTTGTCCAAGTGTATGGAAGTGAGTGATAGTTGGCTGGTGTCTCTTGGTAGCTAGTTGGTGCTCATGACGACGTAACCATCCTAGGACAAGCCAAACAAAGACACGCACGGGAATTCCTCGAAGCCTGGTACTCAACCCGGAATTCCAACAAACATGTGGAAATAGGCCCCATTTACCAACTACTATGAAGCAGAAGTGGAAATGAGACCAACCACCACATCAAACCGGACCACATAAATAACAAGCAGGACAGACCAACAACGCTTCAGCGTAGGCGCACTGATGATGTTACCTAGTATGGTGACGAAACATCTACAAACCAATCTAGCAGATCAGCAAACAAATCAATGACCACACACCAGGCATATCTAAGAAATGAAACATTAAGCAATAGTCAAACCGACAACGAACAGATCAGATCTTAGTCCAGCCATATCCAGTTGTGAATGGTAGGGTATAATTAAACAGCTAAAGGAGGTGGAGAGGGAGGAACCATAAATATGGCCATCCTCAATGATGGGGGAGCCAGCATGTAAATGCAAAAGGCAAGATCAAAATATTCGGATCTATCTTCAGCTGAATGTGGCAAGTGAAATATACATCTCTAACTCCTCCTGAGGTTCCCACCATCTTAGATGTCACAGATTCAGTAAGCACTGAAAACGCCCTTCAGCCCATCAAGTCTGCACTGACATAACTGCCACTAAAGTGCACTAATCCCAATTTCCTACATTTGTCTCATATCTTTGAATGTTATGATATTTGAAGTGTTCATTGAAATACTTTTTAAAGGTTCTAAGGTTTCTGGCCTCAACTATCTTCCCAGACAGTGCATTCCAGATTTCAACCACTCACTGAGCTTTTGTTCCCCAGTCCCCTCTGAATCTCCTGACCTTTACCCTAAAACTGTGCCCTCTAGTGATTGACCGCTCAACCAAGGGGAACAGCAGCTCTCTATTCACCCTGTCCGTACCCCTCAGAATCTTATACATGTCAAACATGTCCTGCTCAGCCTTCCCTGCTCTAAAGAAAACTCTCCAAGTCTATCTAATCCCTCCTTATAGCTCAATTTCTCCATCCCAGGCATCACCCTAGAGAATGTCCTCTGTACTGTCTCTAATGCTATCACATCCTTCCTGTGATGAGGTGACCAGAATTGCACACGGTACTCCAGTTGTAGCCTGACCAATGCTCTACACAACTCCAACATTACCACCTTGCTCTTATACACTATGCCATGACTGATAAAAGCAAGAGTCCCATATACCTTCTTAACTGTCACATTCATGTGCTCTGCCAGCTTCTTGTCAGTTTTTAAATTTGATTCATTCTACGTGATAATCAAGAAATCTACATGTCAACTAGCTGTAAGTCACAAGGTGATGGAACATTTTCTACTTGCCTGGATCACTAAAGTTCCAACACCACTCAAGAAGCTCCACACCATCCAGGACAAAGCAGTCCGTTTGATCGATACCCCATCCAACATTTTCATCGTTCACTTTTCAAGCCTGCTATACACAGTGGTAACAGTGCGTACCATCTACAAGATGCACTGCAGTGATTCATCAAGGTTCCCTTGACAACACTTTACAAACCCACAACCTCCAATACTTAAACTGGCGAATGCAGTAGATACAGTGGAATGCCACATTCTGCAAGTTTCCCTCCAAGCCGCACATCATGAGTTGGAACAAGTTCACCACTCCTGGACTGCCACTGGGTCAAAATCCCTTCCTAACAGCACTGTTGGTGTTTGTAAACTCTGAGGATTGTAATGGTTCGAGAAGGCAGCTCATCATCCCCATTTCAAGGACTGTTAAGAATGGATAATAAATAGTGGCCCAGTCAGCAATGAATGAATTTTTTTAAAAAATGAAAATAGTATTGAACATGGAAAACAGAATTATTGATACGTAGTTTTAAAGAGATCTAAAAGCTGGAAGACACAGACAGCTGACCACTGACCCATTTTCTGATCTGAACAGAAATTTCAGGGAGGGACTCTTTCCAAGTGCTAAGTAAATGCTGGTACTACGTATGTCCTGAAATTCAAGTCCATTAATTTTGTAGTCATAGAATATTAATGGTTGACTAATTATTAAAACAAAAATGAAGCCTTTAAACTGTTCACAGCTTTATAAACCAATTGAGCTAAAATTCTAGCACTTATACACAGCAGACAACAACTAAGTATCTTTTCATAAAACCAGCCAGGTACGGCATAAAACATCCTGATGCTAGCCAAGTTATCAGGCTACAAGGAGAGATTAAGTTGCAATTTCACGTGTCTGTGTGTTCATTTGCATATTATACAAGTCACTCTTTCCCCACTTTCTACTGGAGTGGGCAGACCATTTTTAAAAATTCACTAATACTTTCCCTGATGCTTTGAGCAAACTTTTCTTTCTGGCACTGGGTGTAAAGTTAATTTTACATAAATGCAGTGACACTTCAAAGCAGCTTGGGTCAATTCTGACAGGTGTGATAAAGCACCATAGTAATGTACGTCCTTCCTTCTCACCATTTAAAATTAATGAGCTCCCATCTTACACTTACTGTTTACATTGATCATTTATATACTTTGGGGAGATTCCTACTTTCAGGATGTTGAGCCTTAGCTGATTCAATTTCTTCTCTTCTCACTACACACCCCCCATTAACATCCCTTTAAATCGGCCCAAGTTGGCTCCTTTATGTTTGAGTGCATGGCCACACAAAAAAAGCAATATAGGGGTTTCAGCTTTAAACAAATTGCCTGCACATTTCAAAAAAATAACGAGAGGGAAGAACATTTCATTACCTTGAATCATAAAGTACGCAGCACAGAAATGTGCCATTTCTGCCGAGCTGGTTTTGCCAGCTTTAATACTCCAGAGGTGTCTGTCCAGCCACCTGAAAAGCGGTATCTTCCTTAGCACCTGCCTACGGAACCAGATCATCCCCAATGGACTATAATCCACATTCAAGCCTTCCCAATTTGGCCCCAACCGTGATAATACCTACACTCATGGTGTTGAGATCCTTCAGAAGCGTTTCTCCCTGCGACTCCTGAAACACACACTTGCAGCAATGCGCCGGCATCTCCAGGCACTACAATCAAGCCTACCCCAGCTCAGAGCCTCCCTCTCCCAGACCTGCAAAGGACCTCTCCTGTTTTTTATTCTTCGTAGGATCCACAACCTGAACTCCCAATTCTACTCAGCTTTATTGGACATTAAAAACCGTAAGTACAGTAAACTTACTGGTGCCTACCACCCAAAACGGGCTTCCTCCACCCCCCAAATCCCCAGCCGTACCCAGGACCTTCCCCACAATGGGTCCGCCGCCATTGGCCATGAGGCCACTATCGGAGAACCCACTTTTTTTTTTTTTTTTTCCACCGCCGGGTTCCCCACTTCCGGGACAGCAAACACCATCACTGCCGTTGCCACCGACACTGAAGTCGCGACCACCCTCACCGCTACTGCCGCCGCCTACCCCGCTCCTCCTACCTCCGACGCCGGTCCGCCCATCACCGACGCGGACGCAACTCCACCCACCGCCGGCGCAACTCCGCCCACCGCCGACGCCGACACAGCTCCGCCCACAGCCAGCAGCTCCAGAGGAGACAGCGGCACCCAGCCCTGCCGAGTCTTCACCATCCCCCCAGACCTACCCCTTACTGAGGACGAACGGTCAGTCCTCAGTAAAGGGCTCACCTTTGTCCCCCTCCACCCACAGATCAACGAATACCGCTCACGCTTGGACATAGAGCAGTTTTTCCGCCACCTCCGCCTCCACGCTTACTTCTTCAACCGTGAACCTAACCCTCCCTCGACTGACCCCTTCTCCCTCTTCCAACACACCCCCTCCTCCTGGACACCACCCTAAGGCCTCCTACCCTCCCTCGACCTCTTCATCTCCAACTGCCGTCGAGACATCAATCACCTCAACCTCTCCACCCCTCTCACCCACTCCAACCTCTCCCCCGCAGAACGTGCAGCCCTCCGCTCCCTCCGCTCCAATCCCAACTTCACCGTAAAACCCGCGGACAAGGGAGGCGCAGTTGTAGTATGGCGCACTGACCTCTACATCGCCGAGGCCGGACGCCAACTCTCCGACACCTCCTCCTACCGCCCCCTTGATCATGACCCCACCCCTGAGCACCAAACCATCATCTCGCAAACCATCCACAACCTCATCACCTCAGGTGACCTCCCAGCCACGGCCTCCAACCTCATCGTTCCCCAACCTCGCACTGCCCGCTTCTATCTCCTTCCCAAAATCCACAAACCTGAATGCCCTGGTCGACCCATTGTCTCCGCCTGCTCCTGCCCCACCGAACTGATCTCCAACTATCCAGACTCCATTTTCTCCCCCTTGGTCCAGGAACTCCCTACCTATGTCCGTGACACCACCCACGCCCTCCACCTCCTCCAGAACTTCCAATTCCCCGGTCCCCAACACCTCATCTTTACCATGGACGTCCAGTCCCTCTACACCTGCATTCCCCATGCAGATGGCCTTAAGGCCCTCCGCTTCTTCCTGTCCCGCAGGCCCGACCAGTCCCCCTCCACTGATACCCTCATCCGCTTAGCCGAACTCGTCCTCACACTCAACAACTTCTCTTTCAATTCCTCCCACTTCCTACAGACAAAGGGGGTAGCCATGGGTACCCGCATGGGCCCAAGCTACGCCTGCCTCTTTGTAGGTTACGTGGAACAATCCCTCTTCCGTACCTACACCGGCCCTAAACCCCACCTCTTCCTCCGTTACATTGATGACTGTATCGGCGCCGCCTCGTGCTCCCACGAGGAGCTCGAACAGTTCATACACTTCACTAACACCTTCCACCCCAACCTTAAGTTTACCTGGACCATCTCTAACACCTCTCTCCCCTTCCTGGACCTCTCTGTCTCCATATCGGGCAACCACCTAGAAACCGATATTCATTTCAAGCCCACCGACTCCCACAGCTACCTAGAATACTCCTCCTCCCACTCACCATCCTGCAAAAATGCTATCCCCTATTCCCAATTCCTTCGCCTCCGCCGCATCTGCTCCCAGGATGAGGCATTCCACTCCCGTACATCTCAGTTGTCCTCGTTTTTCAAGGACCGTAACTTCCCCTCCTCGGTGGTCGAGAACGCCCTCAACCGTGTCTCCCACATCTCCCGCACCTCATCCCTCACACCCCGTCCACGCAATAAAAACCAAAAAAGAATCCCCCTCGTCCTCACGTACCACCCCACCAACCTCCGGATCCAACGCATCATCCTCCGACACTTCCGCCATCTGCAATCCGACCCCACCACCAAAGACATCTTTCCCTCCCCACCTTTATCTGCTTTC